CCCAATCCCTTCTAAGACCCCACCACCAGGTAGGAGAGGAAGAAGGTTAGTGGGGAGAGGGGCCGGAGTTTTCTTTGGCTACTTCCTGCTGGCTAGGGGTAGTGGGGTTTCTTGGGGCAAATTCAAACTTTGTTTAAGGAAATCTTCTTAAACTTTATCAACAGCAACCAGGCCTCTTCCTCAGAGGCCCCTTTCTCTGTCTGGGCTCCGGTATTTATTCTCTCTCCAGAGTCCTCAGATTTAAACTATCTGCAGCTGGCAAAGAGCTCCTCTCAGAGCCAGCAAGAGGCAAATAGTCTGCTGCTGTGGACCATCTGAATCAGTTCCATATCCCACGCCTGGGACCAAAGCAAAAACATGTTTACAATAAAAACTGAGTTTTTAAAGACACCAAAACTTCCTCCATACACATTAAGTAAAAATAAATATTAATAAACAATATTGGAGGGCAATTGTGGCACATGCCTTTAATCTCAGCCAAAGACCAGGCTATCAGTTCGAGGCCAGCCTGCTCTGCAGTGCAACTTCCAGGACAGCCAGGGCTACACAGAGAAACCCTGTCCCAAAAACCAAAACAAAAGTTGTGAGCAGCCACGTGAGAAGCAAGCCTGAGGCAGGTCCTCCAGAAAAGCAGCCAGTGCTCCTAATCGCTGAGCCACCCCTCCAGCCCAGACCTGCTCCAGACCTCCAGCTAGCCACCAGCTTGGCCTTACACCAGGTTCCTTTCTCTGCAGGCTATATGTACAGCAGTAATATAACCAACACAATAACGTTGTGTTGGTTATATTACTGCTGTAATAAAACAACTGAAGGAAGTTGTTGTTTGTTTGTTTTTAAGAACAGCCCATCGTGGTGGGAAGGCACGGAGGCAGGAGCATGAGGCAGCTGGTCACATGGCACCCGCAATCTGGAAGCAGGGAGGGGTGAAGTGGACTAGTATTGTGCACTTTTCTATATATATCACAATAAGGTTAAAAAAAATCTGTCTCCCCTAAAACATCGCTTATCTATGACTTCCTTTACTTGTGTATTCTATTCTGTGGAGGCAGGAAGTTTGTTCTTTTTGTAAAGCCTTTTTTATTTTTTATTTTTAACTCTCTCTTGTCCCACCCCACAGACTCCCCCTCCTCCTGTGTGTGTGTGTGTGTGTGTGTGTGTGTGTGTGTGTGTGTGGTGTGTTGTGTGTGTGTGTCCACTGCCCTGGAGTTTACAGTGTGGGTGAGGTGTCTACAAGAACAGCATGCACCCAACCAGAGCCATCTCAGGAGGAGGTTTTGAAGCCAGGACACGGTACAAGTTAGGCACATGCTTCTCAAGTGAACTACACTCTCTATCCTCAGTAAGAACTGAGGGCCGGGGGATGGCTGATCCCTGTCCCACATGTTGGGAGAGAACTGAGTCCTGCAAGCTGTCCTCTGATCTCGGTGCACGTGACAAGCCCCCACACGAGGAAAGAAATGTCATTTCAAAAATGGAAAAGCCCGAGAGGAGGGCACGCACTTCTTCCTCCCAGCACTCGGAAGGAGGAGGCAGAGGATCTGTAGTTGAAGTTAGAGGCTACGGGAGTCCATCTCAAAGACCAAAAGGTTAAATAGTTCACATGCATTAAAGTAAATTGTTTGTCATGACAAAAAAGAAAAAGGGAGAGAGAGAACGAAAGGAAAACTGGCGCTGCTTATAGAGGTGATTACAAGGTCAAACACTTTTAGAAAAAGAATCACACTTTGCCTTTGTAAGGGGCTGAGAGAACGGAGCGAGGTCTCAGGACGGCAGTGGGAAGCTGGCCGTATGTGGCCTCAGGCCACTGGCCAGGGCCACCGGCTACCATTGGCTGCCACTGGCTGCCACCATCTGCCGTTATGCAAGCACCTACAAGACAAGGAAGTGCTGGGGACGTGATGGTTAGCCCGACCCAGTCCCCTAGGAACTTTCCACGGCTGGCAGCGTGCCAGGCCCAGGTGAACAGCCAGTTGGGGCTTTTGCTGGACTTTCCAGACCACACTGTCTAGGACAGAAATCAGAGCATCCCAGAGTTTAGTAGCCCAGAGGAGGAGCGTTTGAAGGGAACCACCCAGTGTGGGGGCCACTCAAAACCTGCCCTTATTCTCAGCTCGTTCATCAACACAGGGTCTTCCCTCTCCTGGTCCCCACCCCCCGACATCCCTCCACTCATCTGAAGACTGAGAGTTCGAGGCCAGCCTGGGTACTTAGACTCAAAATGACAAGAATGGTCACTGCTGTGGCTCAGTGGTAGAGCACTTTGCCTTAGATGCCCTGGTGACAGCTGGGGGGACACAGTGCAGAAGCAGGGTGCCTGTCATTTTGGAATCTCCAGACTGCACCACAACCTGGCCCCATGCGCTCTTTCTGATCCTAGCCAGAGTCACGGCAAGGAGGCACAGCTGGGGACAGCTTCCTGTGACCCCGTGGCTCTGAACTCCCTAGTATGGAATAGGAGAGGGCCAGAGGTGCCGCCTCACCTCCCACCCCTAACCATGCCACCACCCTCCCCCAGCAGGGTTTCTCTGTGTAGCCCTGGCTGTCCTGGAACTGGTTCTGTAGACCAGGCTGGCTTTATACTCAAAGACTCGCTTGCCTCTGCCTCTGGAGTGCTGAGATTACAGGCGTGAGCCGCCACGCCCAGCTCACCCCTGCCACTTTTTAAATAGCGTCTCACTGTATATCTCGGGCTGTCCTTGAACTAAGAGAGCCACCCCTCCGCCCCACTAGGGAGCCGCCTTCTGTCCTCTGCCCAGCTGCTTCTCTACACACTCAGTCCCTCCCCGGCTGGGTGTCACCGCCTCTGGTCCAGTGCCCAGGGTCCAGGCTCTCTCCTCCCAGGAACTCTGTCTGCCTAGTCAGCTCCAGGAGGCCTGCTGACCGTGGCTTTGTGTCTCTCATCCGTGAGGGTGACACTGGAGCCTAGCTCCTCTGCTGCTGGGATTAAAGACACCTGCCGCCGTGCTGGCCCCGTGTTCTCTTCACCCCAAGCAGCGCTCCCCAAGGGGAAGCCAGATTCTGAGGGACAAGCATGTGGTCGGGTGTTGTTTCACTTAGGCGGGGGTTTGTGTGTCTACGTGTGGATGCGGACATCACGTCTCAGGGGTCACCTTGGTTTTTGAGACAGGGTCTATTACTGACTTAGAACCACCTTGAGGGGCTGGAGAGATGTCTCAGTAGTTAGAGCACTGGCTGCTCTTCAAGAGGTCCTGAGTTCAATTCCCAGCACCCACATGACAGTTCAAAACTGCCTGTAACTCTAGATCCAAGGGGATCTGACTCGCTTACACAAACATACCTGCAGGCAAAACCACTAATGTACATAAAATTTTTGTTTTATTTTTTTTTTTTTAACTCACCTCGAAGGCTAGACTGGCTAGCCAGTGACTCCCAGCGCCCCTCCTGACTCTGCCTTCCCAGTGCTGGGATTAAGGCCCAGAGGCCGGGCAATGACGGCGCACACCTTTGGTTCCATCACTGGGGAGGCAGAGGTAGGTGGATCTCTGGGAGTTCAAGGCCAGCCTGGTCTACAAAGTGAGTTCCAGGACACCCAAGGCTACATGGAGAAACCCTGTCTCTACAAAAACATTTTATGTATGTATGTATGTATGTATGTATGTATGTATGTATGTATGTAT